TGTTGAAACAGCTCTCACTACTAAACTTACTTTAACTAGTCACTTAACATGTTGAAACAGCTCTCACTACTAAACTTACTTTAACTAGTCACTTAACATGTTGAAACAGCTCTCACTACTAAACTTACTTTAACTAGTCACTTAACATGTTGAAACAGCTCTCACTACTAAACTTACGTTAACTAGTCACTTTACACATTGAAACAACTCTCACTACTAAACTTACTTTAACTAGTCACTTCACATGTTGAAACAGCTCTCACTACTAAACTTACTTTATCCAGTCACTTTACACATTGAAACAACTCTCACTACTAAACTTACTTTAACTAGTCACTTCACATGTTGAAACAGCTCTCACTACTAAACTTACTTTATCCAGTCACTTAACATGTTGAAAGAGGTCCAGCTATTAAACTTCTTTAACTACTCGTTTATCAGTTTGAAACAGCTTCTGCTACTGAATTTTGTACTGTTGATTCTCTGTCCGGCACATTATGTCTCTCCTTCTTCAGAACAAGAATAAATAATTGTTTTGCATTACTTAATTATAGACAAGAACTAAGTTTATTTAAAGCATTTAATGTATTTCAAACTATCAATGATTTGAAAAAAAAAGTCGTTATATATATTAAAGCATGTAATTTGCATAATAATTATATGAATTACTTTTGTGTTGGAACTGTGATTTATTAATGTCAAGTTCGAAAAGTCGCGACTTCTCGCATTTGTTAATATAGAATAACCCTCTTTAATGCGGTAAGGTTAAAACTAATGAAAATATTTAATGATTTATAAAAATGCACTCAATTAACTACTACTGATCAAGTATTTAAACGAATGCTAATCTTCAAAGTAAAATATGAATTCACGGCTACTTTGATATGCTTATTCATTTTTTTTTTAATGCGACCGGTATTAATTTTTTTTTCGTTTTTGTGGTAAATATAAGCAATTTCTTTTTTAATGGTACATCTACGTATCTTCTGTTCAGTGTGTAAATAACGATAAGTTTTATGGTTATATAACTTTTCAACACTGTAGCGTTAAATGTGTGAAAAAAGTGCTAAAGAACATGTGGTAAGTGTCAATAACGTGATATAGTTACATCATCTGGGGAGAGAAGATGATAACCCAAAATATAAAACTGGTCTCGTCCGTCCAGTTGTTACATCCACAGGAAACCGCCACAAGACTGTCACAGTTTCTAGCTGATTGTATATTAACCATGAAAGCTTACACGCTCCTCTGCTGCTTGCTTGTTGTAACTATGGCGACGAGTAGCAGCCGCTCACTTCTGAATGGAGAGTGTCCACAACCTCCTGTAAAGGCAAACTTTGAATTGCAAAAGGTAGGTCAATCGCCAGTCAACAGCACGCACCGCCAACTTTTAGCACTGTATAATAGGATTTTTTAACCGCTACTCTTAGTTTTTGCGCACCAATGTGCGTTTTAGCGGCAAAGAATCGTGAACCATGAATATTCGGATTCACAATCTAGGCACGCTTAACAAATATCCCACTATTTAATTAGTCATGCTATACTATTTACAGTATCTTAATTAGAATCTAAGATGACTGAAGAAGTTATTGATGATTAATAAACACTGAAAAAGATTTATTCTAAATCTAATTACCAATATTTTAGTACTTAGGGACTTGGTATGAAGTTGAAAGGAACCCAGCAATCTTTCAAAGCGGGCAAAAATGTACTAGCGCCACCTACACGCTGAAGGACAACGGGAAAGTGAAAGTCTTCAACAAAGCCGTTATAGTGAAGTAAGCTAGTCATTTATAAAGTACTTCGGTTTTATAATGCATATTCTTTTTGAAACCTTTATGCAGTTCGTACCAGAATAACACATTGAAAACTTCACATTTTAAAACAATTCAAAACGTTGTTTCCGTTATTTTACTCATTTATTTCCTGTTACAGAACCGGTGATGTGACAAGCATTGAAGGAGAAGCATATATTCCCGATCCCAATGAGCCAGCAAAATTACTTGTCTCTTTTCCAGGCAGTACGTACCGGAATCTTTCTTTCAACAATTTTGACGTATCGCTAATCAAAAAATATTACATATGGTCTAGTTCAAAATCAACAAGACACGTATATCACTCTTAGTTTTGATTCTTATTTTCGTAATAAACATGAAATTAAATATTAAACTATGGATCTTTTTTTCATAAAATATTCCAATTCTCCTCTATCTTTCTTGAATATAATTTGGACTTTTTTAATGCATTAAGCTATAGTTTAATTGTATAAAAAAATTTAAGAAATCTTATTTTGACATTTTAAATGTAAAAACAACCCATGTAGAAATTGTTTTAATTTTGCTAAATAGTTGTGTTATTGCGCCAAGAGTGACTTATTGTAGGAAAATATTAATGCCACGAATCCACTGAACAAATTCCTGTATCCTTCAGATCCCTTCGATGGTAATTACTGGATTCTTGATACGGACTATGATAAATATTCAGTGGTCTTCTCCTGTCAGAGTATACTTCATGTTTTCCGTATCGGTAAGTTACATACAAAGTATCCTTGTGCTTAACGACTGTAGTAAATGAAACAGTGACAAGTGTAACTATTCCTTGTAAACACCATTACTAATCAGACGAATTATTAACTGTTACATTAGTTGTTTTAACGCACGTCATTTACTAACATAAACACCCTTTAAAGTGTTCATTTGAATCAGAAAATAGTTAACAATGGTTATGTTTTTGATGTTATAATAAACATTAATTTCGTTTTTGTTTATTTTTAGAATATCTGTGGATTTTAAGCCGTGAGAAGACACTGCCTGATACAACGCTAACCAACATCTACAGAATATTGGACAAAAATGGAATAGCTAGAAATAAATTAATCAAAACAGACCAATCAGACTGCAAAACAGAGTAATACAAAATCTGCAATAAATAACTGTATCATAAAGAAAGCAATAGTTTAATAACATTAGAGGAATAAAGTCACTTCTGTGTCAACTTACTCTGCTGTTTTCAGTTGAAATCAGTGACTTCTTGTGACACTATTATTACATATTAATCTTAAAAGGAAGAATTAGTATATACAATGTCAAGATGAAGTTAACTTTTCATAACAGCAACATTAACTTTATCAGATTTTTATACATTACTGTTTAATCAGTTCTTCATACAGTATTGCTTAATCGGCTCTTAATACAGCATTGCTTAAATCAGGTGTAATACTGTTTGCTCCTTAATTAAAGATTAGAACTATTTTGTGTTGATGGTTGTAAACAATAAAGCCAGTGTAACAAAATTTTACGCCTTAAAAACCTCTTTTTACAGTAAATAATGCACAGTTGCTAAGATGCCATCGTATTAGCTCTAAAACCATTGATCCTTCCAAACTGTAATAGTTTCAGACCAACAAATAATGAAGCAACATGAAATCTACTACTCCACAATTGCATCACAAAATTAGTTCTTTTTCATAAAAAAATAATTATGTTCATGAAACGCTGTACAAGTGAAATTCTACAAGACCAGTAGCTATAACAATTTTTTTTTTATAATGTATACCTCTGACAAAATGTTGCCTACAGTAAAAGTTACCACAACTGATGATTCAATGTATCCTAATCATTACAAGTTCTTGTTTCACACCTTGAACATGCCTCATGAGAATAGTATATTAAAATTACTCACCTTAATTACTGGATTAATCTATAATTCTGATCTATGTAGATAGCTTGATTTGATCAGAAACTAGTGTTAATTCTCACATGGCTTTTTTCATAAAAGTATTTAATATCAGACTTACTTAAATTTTATAACCCAACTTTCACTCACCTTAAAAATACAAATAGCTGGAAACAATGTTAAAATCAAAGAAAGTATTACAAAATCTTTTAAGTTTACTGTTGAAGTTTGTTGTCACTATTTATTGCAAAAGTACAAACACTTCTTTATATAATCAAATTTTAACAAAGTTGAAAAATAAATATAAGCAATAGATGAAAAGCTTAAAATTTGATTTCCCATTGGAGAAACAAAAAAAAACCATCTCTCAAAAATTGTAGTCAATATCAGTTTCAAATACGAGTTAAAATGGTTTTTGTGTCTAGTTTATTCAAACTCGGCATTTTACATTTTAAAACTTCATTAAATGCACATCATATAAAACTCAAACAAGCACTTTGTATAAAAAAATTCAAGATTATTAATAAATGTAATTTCAGAAGACAATATTTTAAAACAGAAGATTATTTTTTTATCAAATGAAAGTAATTTTGGTCCTAGCCTGGTTGACTTGCCAAACATTCAGTTCTTCATATTCTTCTATAGCTTCATCAATCTGGTCTGGCTTGTACCCCCTTGATGTGCAGCGTTCTAAGGCATCAGTCATCTTGACAGTCTTACCACCTGTCTCAGACATCATGTCTCTGATGACAGCAAAGATCTGATCTGTGACAGTCTGAATTCTATGCAAAATAAACACATTAATAAACTGTCTTACCTGTTTAAATTATACTAGTCAGCATTTTTATTGTATGATTTTACTAGAAAAGAATTGACATTGTTTTTTTAAGTCAAGTATTTGTTAATATTGATATATGAAAAAGTATCACGGTGTGTCTACTCTTTGTAAGAATTTAACAAGTCAAGCATTTGTTAATATTGATATATGAAAAAGTATCACGGTGTGTCTACTCTTTGTAAGAATTTAACAAGTCAAGCATTTGTTAATATTGATATATGAAAAAGTATCACGGTGTGTCTACTCTTTGTAAGAATTTAACATACGTTTTTCTTCTAATACTGTACTAAAAAAATTCAACATTTTAATTTTGATAATCTTAAAGAACACATGCATGAATTTAAAATTATTATTTTTTATTTGCAGTAACCTGAAGTTAATGTTTTCAAAACTAAGTTTTCATGTGTTCGCTGTACATCAATTACCAAGCTAATTACGTAACCATGTGTGGAGGGGAGGATTATATACTAGAATAATAGTTTTGTCACCTACGTATAAACATCTGTCCTTTTACTGTGACATGAGAACTTTAATCTGTTTATCAACCTGCAACCAAATTGTCTTTCATTATCTTACCTTCCAGTTGTCTCTCTATGGTAGTTCAATGAGTCTTTAGACATTTCCATGAGTCTCATAGCTTCATTTACATCTTCTTTTTCAACCACCTCTGCAAGTCGAAGTTTAGCCTGCATTTTTTTTTTATAAAGTTGAATTACTTTATAGGAGCATAGTAACATACCTACCAATTAAACTTTCTTGAAAACTGTAAAAACCATACCAATATCCATCTTTACATTTTGGATATGCATTTTAAAGACATATTGATCAGTCAGGTTTCATCTTTACACATATTCTGATGAATGTTCTAATTTAAAATTGATCCTGTTTATGTTTTTCTTACACTTGTTTTGTTCCCCCCCAAAAGTTGTTAATTGGTCTTATCTAAGCACATTAGATGAATAATTATTCATGTTTTTACCATCCCATCTAAGAAGCTTATCCACAAATAAGTTTACTAATTTTAATCAAAATATACATAAGCAGATTTTATATGTATTTCTTAGAAAGTGACATCAACAGATAGACTTACCAAAGCAGTAGCAAGGCGCAAGACTCCAAGCAAAGTTCGGGCCGAAGTGAAGGTCATGTCCTTATTATTGCGAGCTTCCTTCCGCAACTCAACGTAAGCTCCAACAATATAATCTGTCAAGGCTTCTGGAATAACAGGGTTCTTCCTCTTACACAGAGTTATATACCGTCTCATTACTTTCATGTCTAAAGGTTTGAACTGAGTAGGTGGTTCAGCACAGTGTTGGTGGACATAAGTAATGTGTTGGGCTAATCTGAAAAATAAAAAAAGTAAAACCTAAGACCGTGGCACATGGTCAAATCAACCTCAGAACATTAGATTTAAAAATGAGAATACTTATAACTTGTGCTAACAGAGGAGCAATACAATATATATATAACGTAATCACTAAGACAACTGATTTAAAGGGGTTTACATGTGAAATAAACTTCATGTAGTTGTTTTTAATAACAGAAAATCATCAGCTGTCCAACAGGTTCAAATATTTTTTATCTTATATAATATTAAAACAATATGCACCATTGAAAAATCAATAATGTGATATAATAATATGATGCATTTAACGTAAAGAAAAGAAAGTTAAAGTAAAAGTTAGGATTTTCAGAGTAAAGTAGTACTTTATTTTTGAGCAGAGAAATATAAATTAGTTAAATAGTTTTTCACAACAATGAAAACACTTGCAAAGGCCACTTTGTATTTCAAGAAAAACTTCAATTTAACCTTTATTAACATTTTCTGCCCGGCATCATTTACTGTATATGTCACGAAGTTTTAGTGACTTACATTCAAAATTTTATTAAACTACTTTTTGCTTATGTTATACCAATTAGTATAGCATAACATCATAGCTAATAATCCATATTTTAATAG